ATTAAGCAAAGAAATCAAACTAAGGGTCATATCTATAGGGTTATAGATATCGACGAAAGCGATTGTTCAAATTTGGAAAGCAAATAAAATCTATTATCATATCCAAGTGATTATGGATAAGATAACGATTTTCCGTATCGCCGCGCATCGTACCTTTGGGATAAGGTCGGATAGTCGTCCGATACGTTGCCAAATTAGGAATGATTGCTAATTTTGGGTGTTTTCGAATATTGCGGATATAACACACATTATCGTAAGATATCTAGCAATCCACGTAATATTCACGGAATATTCAAAATATCTGAACTAGGAATCTAAATATTTTGAAAACATACCGGATAGCATTCTTACCTAATTTCGGGATATTCCCAAATTTGAACTCGCGGACCGGGATTGCGGATCGGGATGATGGCGAGTGGACCGGCGGCGGCGCGGCCACGAGGACGACGGCGCTGTTTGCGGTGGTGCTTGTGATGGTTCACGGTTCTCGACCACAGATGAATTCGTGGGGCTTGACTGAACACGGCTAAGGGTCTGCAAAGCTTCTCTGAGATGCACAAGGCAAAGCAATCGGCAATTTTTTTACTCCCTGTTCTCGGTTCTCCCCATCGTGTGTTGTATGTTGGTCAAGCTTGGGGAATCAATTCTTGCCTTTCTCCGTTCACAGCTACTTCTCGACGACGCTTGATGAACTTTGCTGGAAAACCCGAGCGCTGAAATCAATTTGAGGATGTCTTGCTCAAGATGCTAGATGGCTCGCCCTTACTGCAAAACATTGACCGGAAGACCACGTAGATCTGCTGGTACAATTATTAAACACCTGGACTCCTTGATGATTGCTATGGGAGTGGTAGCTTTGTCTTCTTCTTCATCCAGTCGTGAGTGCAAGCGTTGGAGATCTGCAGGTGGGCGCACTCACCCCTGCGTGTGCTGCTCTCTTTTCTCTCTAATGCTGGCCGATGCTCTCTGTATTGTCGTCGAGTGTGTTATGAATTGTGTGGCCCCGTGAAGAAGCTAAGTGAAGTGTGGATGACCAGTGCACTCCGTCACGAACGTCTTCTTCCTCGTGTACCGTGGGTGTTGCCGAGGAAGCAACACTAGCCTCCCTCTCTATTTTTTCTTTGCAGTGATCGTCGCGGTGGTGGCTCGCCGGATTGGCGACAACGAGGAGTGGTGAAGACGGTGCGGTCGCAAGGCGGCACGACGGTGGGGCGAGCACGTGCACGAGCGACTCTCTCTCTTGCTCTTGCTCACGTGTCTCGCTCTTGCTCTCGGGAATTGTTTTCGGAAATTATGAGAGTCCCTTGATTATGACGCATAACGACATATTTATATCGCAATCCTAGGTTAATTAACTGGGCTTCCTATTCCTAATGGGCTTAGACTTAGGCTTTATCATTTAATTTTATTTTAATTCCAAATGGGCTAAATTAATTCGGGCTGATTTAAGCTCAAATTAAAACAACCAAAGCCTTTTAGACTTGTGAATTTTTAGCCCCAATCCCTTGAGTGAGCGAGTGCTCGAGCTCGGTTTACGCGATGAATTTTCAGCTTACTCGCCACCGCCGGTCCGATACGGAATGCAACTAACCTATATGAACTTAAACTATATGCTATGCAATTTTAATATTTTTGTTTAGGGGTTAAAATTTAATCCCTAATTTTCTATGCAAATTATTATTAAATGGTCGATCGAAATTTAGGTGTCAACACTCGTTTTCCTAAGCGATTAGAACGTTGAAAAATGAAAAAAATGTTTTTCCTGAAAATATTTTTTATGAAATAAATGGAGCCTAAAACTGTACTTGACCAAAAATTCAGCCGGGTAAGGTTTACAATTTCATAATCTGGAGGACAAGGCTTGCGCTCGAGCTCATGCTGCGATTCAGCACGCGAGAATCTTAGTTGTATGGTTTCTTCGATGCATACAAGCCTCGGCCCAAGTTAGAAAGGTCAGTGCAAAATGCAAGCCCAAGCTCGATTCAGCGCAGTTGAATATGAAATTTTCACTAATAGTCCTTTAAAAACGTTTGAAATCAAATCCATCTGCGAGCAAATCATTTCGTTTTTCTCAAATCCACTTACTACATCAGAAACAAATGTAGGGGCAAAGTATAATATAGCTTTGATATTATTTTCACACGCTATTCCAATTTGTGGATTTTTATTAACTAATCATCAGCTCATTAGCATGGTCTGCCTAGAAAAAAAGCTATTTCCCATCATCTCAATGTGATAATTTTATTCGTAGAAAATCCTGCTCAAAGTATAAGAGAATACAAAAAATAGCATAAATTCAGGAAAGTCATTCTTTGATCGAGAAAAATTCAGTTGATAAGTGCGTTAACAAAATAAAACGTAATTTTTTTCCGCCACATTGTGCGGTTTTTTTCTAGTGTGAATGATGTAATTGTGGTAGTGCGCCTGACATGTTTGTGATATCGTCTCAACGTAAGTGTATCCCTATTTTATATTCAATTCATATCCATAAAGTGGTTAAAATTAGTGTATCCCTATTTTATGTTGATGCTTTCATTTAGATAAGCCTTTTTTGGGCAAGTGGGTGTTTGGTCTACTGGATGATCGCCAAACTACTGTTGCTCACACTATGATGCAGAGCAGTAAATTGAGTGCATCTGAGGATTTCCACTGTCTTCATGGCATTATTACCAGTTCTAGTGCACCACTCAAGGCATTGTGATGTATAACACACGCATTAGACTCATCATATTCAAATGCACAGTGAAACAACATTCATGGGTTTTATAAAATATGTTCTGCAGCACTTGATTTTGTGTAATCATTGCCACCACCTTTTGTAACGGTGCTGTGAATGTTCTTGGCATTCTAGCCAGCAATTCATTCACCTCACTCATGAGCCTTTTCTTTTGCTGTCTGATGAGCAGAGGAACTTAAATGGGATGTGATTGGCGAATACATTATCGTTTTCTGTGATCCGACGCGCCTCAATCTTGTCTGAACGAACCCCAAGAGAGACGGAGATAGCTCCCCTACCTGGCAAACCTTTGTGTTTAGGTAATCATGAGCTGGGCCTATGGCGAAGTACATAGTGTCTTTTCATGAGGTCGCGAGTTCGAAGCTTAGTGTTAGGTCCGTGACCAAGGTCACATGCGAATGAGCGCTATTCGCGTTGGATTGGTAGCGAGGCTACGGCGACAGGTTTCCCTATCTAAATTTGTCCTGATAGGTCAAGTCAAACTAAACATTTTATGACGGGTGTGAACCTCTCGCAGTGAAGGCACGAGAGCGCTACTACGCTAGTCCCCTTCTCACATGTGATAAGAAAAAGTTCACGGGGAAAGTGCATTTTACATAAGATATATCTCATGTCGCTAATTAGAGTCAAGATATCATACAATTTCAAAACATAATAAGCATTAGATTATCGCATTTTTCTTGACACACAAAATTGCTTTATGAAAAATGATTGGATGGTTTTGCCATCTTAATAGTATAATTGTTAAGGAAGACTCTTTTCTCATCAAAGAGGAGGCTAGGTCGCATGAACTTCTCCTATCGACCTCATATGTCAGTTCAAATGCTAGTCTATCTGCTAAAAAAGGGCACCTGATATAAAGTGTTTGAGACCATTGGGTCCACCTGCTACAAGGGCATGCAATAATGGCTCGTATCCTTCCGTCCAAGAGAAACACATAGGAAAAGAATGCAGAACTTCCATATCTGTTTGGAAAGCATTCGTTATTGTTACCTCTACATTCAGTCATTCAGGATCTATGTTCTTGATCGTTTCAAAATTTAACAAGACCCTTCTTTTCTTCTGATAGCATCAGTTGAGAAACCAAGTATAGTTACTTGAGAAAGAATGAGATCGGTCGACTTAATTTGAGAGACCTAGATGTACCAGTTAGTCTAAATCTGATGTATTCCTAAATTGCAGATTCTTGACTGTTGTGTACAAAATGGAGGACAAACATGACCTGGAAGCTTTTCTGGCTATTCCTGTCTTTTTAATGCTCAAGAGCATCACCCTTTGATCAAAGCTTCCAACTTTTTCTTTATGGTGTCTCCACCATGCCATAAAGATATATATTTCGCCAATGAATCTCATGCTTCTTAGAGGACCCGCAGGCCACTCATAAAAGTCAGGACTAATACCTTGCAAAGTGCCAAAACAAGAACTTCCATGCTCTTGCGCGCAAACACGTGCGCTTGTAGTCATGATTCCTTCCTCTCAAATAATATCTTTTATAAACTACTACGAGAGATATACAAAGGGTGTCCTCAGAATTTGATATTGTTAATCATCGGAGCCATATTGTATAAAATTGACTTCAGATGAGGTCTCGGTCTACTAAGTCGTTTCTTGAAGTCGATTCTGGGTAATAGACTATGTTTCTTGAAGTCGAATTGTAACCTGTTGGATTATGCTTCCTGGAAAATGAGTCAATTCCTGGGTTGCACTTGCGCAGCAATGACTCTAAATCGAGTGAAAGGACACAGACATATATATGATTCTTATCCGTCGCTTGGTATGCCTTCAAATAGGGCGAGGTTCTTCCAACTTGCAAAGCCACTATCTCCGGGAAAACGAGTTTTGTTCCTTCTTTCCCTTATAAAGCAATCAAATTCAACAGAGAAAGAGAGGGATCATACAAAAGGTGAAAATGATGAAAAGGTTTCTGCTTCCTTCGCTGTCTCTGACTTAGATGGGGACAACGATGCTCATCAGTTAATCGGAGGCCTATCTATCTTTTACCAGTGGATGGCTCGGTCGAAACGGTTCCTCCACGTAGAATTATGTCTCACTTATCAATTCAGAATCAGGACCCACTTTGATGCTAAGGAAGCCTATTGCGAATCACAGCCCTCCACCCCTTACCAATGCGCTTGCTCCTTTTGAAGTCCTCTTTCTTTGCATCACTTTCATCTCCATGAAATGAAAAGGCACAGATATAAAGGAGCACATAAAACAAAATTTAAAAAGCTTGGTCATGAAGGTGGGACTGTGAAGAATACAGTTACTATCCGTCATACCAAAGATGTCATACTCATTTAGTTCCTCAATATATTACAGAACCACAGAAGCAAAAATTAAAAAGAAGGAAAACTAAGAAAGTTTTAAGCATTGGCATAATCTACAAGCCAACATTTCTTTATACATAGGAACAAAGGCAAAAAAGAGCTGTTGAGCTCTAGTTTATGTAAATAGTCTCTCCTTAGTGCTCAGAGACTGTACTTGTGTACATATAATAGACTTCCTACATGCCTATACCGAGAAGCCCACCGAACTGCTTGTCAGATCGTAAGAGTTACTTTGCTTTTGGAGGATTGAATGTTTCTTTAGTCATGTCCGACAACTTGCGAGAATCGAATTTGCAAGGGTCGGCCTCTATCAGCAACTGAACGACCTCATTCATGGTTGGACGTAGAGCAGGGGCTCCATACGTGCAGCGAATGGCAATACGAAGAACCCGAATTATGTCTTCCCTAAATGAACCTGATAATCGCTTGTCCAAAGCTTCTACAGTGCTTTCTTTGGTGTCCACTTTGGTTGAAATCCAGCATATGATGTTCTTGTTCTCCCCAAACTCTGGCTCTGCTGGCCTCTTCCCAGTTATTAGTTCCATTAAGACTACCCCGAAGCTGTAGACATCACACTTGGTCGTCGCTTTTGATGAATATGCATACTCTGTCTCGGAAATCAGTATTGTTAATGAAAGCAATTCGCGACGAATTGTGAAATAGTACCATAATTTTTCATGCAGTTGCACAGTAAGAACTCATGACTGGTTCCTACTCTTTTCAAAATATTCTTTGCCTATTATGGCGTGCTGCTTAATCAGTGACCTTGTTCTTTGGCGATGGCACACTTTTTAACATCCTACACCACTAATTGACTTCTTCGAAAATTAATTTTTCTAGTTGGAATAACAATAGCCATGTTTTGTGGAAGATGCAACAACTACTTGTCAGGTCAAACTTAAAGATTACCTGGGGCCAGGTACCCATAAGTCCCCGCGATGACAGTAGTAGTCGAATCCTTACCGCCTCTTGCCTTCAAAACTTTGGCTATGCCAAAATCTGCCACCTTGGGTTGATAGTGAGCATCGAGCAGGATGTTGGTTGACTTGATGTCTCTGTGAATAATAGGTGGTAACAGATCATGATGGAGGTACGCCAAACCCTGCGCAATCCCTAGCGCAATCTGATGACGAATGGGCCAATCCAGATTGTAGGGTCCCTTGTGGAGTGCTTCATAGAGATTTCCGTTAGGCATGTACTCGTAAACCAGCAAACTGCAATCCCGACTCGAGAAGTAACTGTACAGCTTGATTATGTTCTTGTGCCTAACACTTCCCAAAGTTTCCACTTCGGTCTTCAACCCCTTGTCCAGAACTAAATGATCTTCGGAAACACTATCTTTCGCACTTTGGCTCCACAACCTCTTCACGGCCACAACTTCCCCGCTGCTCAGCACTATTCTGTAGACCGTGCCAGAACCCCCATGTCCCACTATGTTGTCATCGACCATGGCCTCGACGATCTCCCGTTGATCAAAGTTTATTCGATGGAAACTCTTCACGTCATATGAGAAGAGTGATGAAGAGAGCGTCTCATCACGTTCCATGACCGATTTGTCCTTGCTGCACTGGCGCTTGAGGAACAATATTGTTCCCAGGGTAATGATAGCCGATGAAATTCCTATTGCCCAGATAGAATTCAGCTTCTTCCGGGTGGAGGTCTGTGGGCATATGGGGAAACTCCCGTTCGATGAATCAGTGGATACAGAGACGCAGAGTCCTGGGTTGCCTGCAAAGCTTTCTGCTAAACCTCCTTTCACGAATAAAATCGGAATTGGACCGGACAGAAGATTGTGCGAGAAGTTAATGGAGTTCGGCAGCAATTTACAGAGACTTTCAGGGATTTTCCCCGTCAGTCGGTTGTTCGAGAGGTCAAGAACATTAAGTGACTTCAGTGAAGACAGGGACTCGGGGATGGAAGAATTCAGCACGTTATTTTGCAGCAACAACAAATTTAGCTTCTTGAGATTGCCAATTTCCAAAGGTATTGGACCCCCGAGCGCATTGCCACTCAGATCAATCTTGACTAAGTTGGCGGCACCAGAGATTTCAGGAGGTATCACACCTGAGATGTTGTTTTTCTGTATGAAGAGCTCCGACAAGTTCCTTGCATTCCCGATTGTACCAGCTATAGGACCACTTAGATTGTTATAACCCAAATCTATGATCGAAGCGTGAGGCAAACCTAGAATTCCTTCTGGGATTGGCCCCTCTAGGTGGTTAGAACTAACCCGAAACCGTAACAGAGTCAAGCAGTTCGCGTAACTGGACGGTAACTGTCCAGAGAAATTATTATCCAGGAATAGGAAATACTGCAGTTTACCTCCGTTGCAGGCTTCTGTTGGCAGGAGACCAGAGAAGTGGTTTTCGGATAGCTCTAGGACGATCAAAGGCGACAATTGCCCCATATTCCACGGAATTTCCCCTGTGAGCTGATTGCCATAAATCGACAGAATGGTCAGGGTTGTTGAATTGCCGATCACGCTCGGGAGTTCTCCAGTGAGGCTGTTGTTGTAAACTTGCAAGACTCTGAGATGAGGGAGCTTGCATATAGACTCCGGGATTTTCCCCGTCAACAGGTTGACCGACATGTCCAAGTCCAGGAGCTCGGTAAGATTCCCAAGCACCTCTGGTATGCCGCCAACGAGCTGGTTGTAGTACAGCTCGAGATGCGTCAAGTTCTTTAGCAAGCCAAGCTCTGTGGGGATCTCCCCCATCAGGTAATTTCCACCCAATTCAAGATCAACCAACGATGTCATGTTTCCTATCGATGGTGGGATCAGTCCCTCAACCATGCACGTCATCAAGATCATGGACTTGAGTTTGCTTAGCCGCGAGATGCTCGCAGGAAGTCTCCACAAGTCGAAGCCGTCATTCTCGTTGAAGTTGAGCAACTCGAGATTGGTAAGGTTAAAGACTGACATGGGGAACTTGCCTGTGAAGAGATTGCAAGAGAGGTCGAGTATCCGGAGAGATTGCATCGGCGAAAGATCAGGTAGAGTTCCGCGGAGGTACAAGAAGCTCATGTCGAGCTCTTCCAAGAGAGAGCAGTTGATGAAGCTGTCGAAGAAGTTGCCATGGAGCTTATTGTGGCCAAGCCTAAGGACACGCAACTGCGGCAGGTAAGAGCAGATATCGGCAGGAAATTGACCAGAGAGCGACCACCCGCCTATGTCCATCTTTACCACGTCCCCTTGATCGTTGCAGCTGATTCCTGCAAAGCTGCAGAAAGAATTCTCTGTCCCTCCATTGAGATTCCACTTCGACAGAGCGTTTCCATATAGCGAATTCTTCATCAGGGTGAAGAACTGGGATTGGTTTGTGCTGGCCGCCTGAGATAGGCACGACAGACATACAAGCCACACGCAGAGGAAGATGGTAGAGTGAAGAGCCATCGAGTGTGTTTTCTGTGTGTTTTGTGAGAGAGAGAGAGAGAGAGAGAGAGTTTAGGAAGTTTGTTGTTGCAGAGAAGGTAGTGAGCTTGGCGAGAAGTATATAAATTGCATGACTGATGGGATCACCGGGTGCAGCAGTAATAAGTCCTGTTTGACAGAAAAAAAAGTTTGGTTTGTGCATACAAGTACCCTGCGCGCGCGCGCACGTACGTCGATCTTTCTCTGAGAGAGAGAGATGCATGACTTTGCATAAAGGAGCTTTATGTGTATGCCCCCACTAAATCAAGTTGAGAATAACCATTCAATGTTTTGGTTCTACTTTATACTGATGAGACACGTGAATAAACCGCATCCGATCCTGATCAAGCTCTATGTTTCCATCTCTGCGTTTTCCATAGCCAAGCACGCAGCACTCGCTGCGTTGCCTTCTCGTCCATCATTGCACATGCCACTGTTTTCCTAAACGCTTGTTGCTCAATATCATTTCTGGGTCCGACACTTTAATCTTCAACTTGCTGGTTTGACAACCGGCCAAACAATAACTATTTCTATTCTTTTATTCTCAGAATCAGTTTTGAAACAGAAATCTGTTTGGTAAATTTGTTGTTCTCGGGCACAAATTTGCAAAAATTTGTTCCCAGAATTAGTTTTGGAATAGAATCAAGAAACAAAAAAAATTGCTTCTTGATTTTGGGAACAAAAATCAGAAATGAAAAAGATTTTTTTTTTTCCTTCTTCTTCTTTCTGGCCTATGGCCGACGACCGGCCACAGGCCAAGGCCGGCGAGGGCGACCCTAACCGCCGCCCTCGCCAGATCCGGCGAGGGCGGCTCGTGGCAGCGAGGGTCCAGCCCTCGCCCAAACCGCGAGCCGCCCTCGCCGGATCTGGCGAGGGCGAGGGCCGCGACGCCCTGGCCGGCCCTGGCCTATGGCCGGTGGCCGGCGTCGACAACCTGGCCATGGCGAAGGAAGGAGAAGAAGAAGAAAAATAAAAAAAAGAAATATTTAGAAATTCAAAATATTATTAATAAAAAAAATTTATACAGTTACCAAACGCATTTCTGTTCTTTTTCTATTCCAAGAATAGAAATATTGTGCAATTACCAAACACCTTCAAATGCTTAGAAATTGTTCCCGGGCACGGAATAAAAAATAATCATTTCTAAACAGAAATTATTTTCGAGAATAAAATGGTTGACAAATGCACCCTTAGCTATTCAAGGCCATCCCATGCATGTCCATGGTGTCTTCTTTGTACTTTAACTGAACAACATACATGATCACATCACAGTAAAAAATTGATTCTTGAGCAGTGTGGGGGTGGTAAAAGAACCATTTCCATAGTTGACTTCGTGCAGGGCCACTCCAAAGTGCTTGTTGGTTTGCTTTCACTGGTTTTTTGGGGTGAATGACACAGAGAATCAGATCAAATTCCTTCAATAGACAAAAAGGTGGCAGGCCCAGTTGGGGAATAGTATCCCCACATCTTTACGCATATTGTTGTGGGGAATCCGGTGGAGACCACACGAAATAATTTAGCAAAAGGTACATGGAAGAGTACAGGAATGTCTTTTTCTCTGTTCGCTCAGTGGGTTCTCTATTCATAATACAGCAATCATCTGATATGTCCCGAAGGACAATCATGGGTTTTGATTAGTTGTGACTGGCAACTACAGCTTTGCAGACTTTCTTTTGGTGCATGTTACAAGAGAAACGCCATTTGTTTTCGTGCAAGGATGTTGGAACGATCGATAGATGTCATCTGTCATCAAGCAGAGATTTAAAGAGCTCTATTTTCCCACGAAGCAATTCTTTAAGATGCATCTCTTGTTAGAGGCTGCTGTGTATCTATATATATATATACACACACTCTTTTTTGGATTTTCTTTAATGTACTTCATTTTCATCGAGGCATCATTTTTCTTCCGTAAGGCGGCTCATAAATATCATTATCGCGATTGGTCATCGCTTCTTGTCTTCGTGATGTGCAAGTACTCACTCTCGCGGTATTTGGGTTTCGATCGGCATGATGGGTTCTCTTGATAAAAGATCAACACTTGCTTAAACCCCGGGATTCGATCTAAAATATGCTTTGACGGATTATGCCTTCCGGCCAATCGGTATTTGGAATTAATTCGTATGAACACGGATTTCACATTGATTTTGGCTCTCAAATCAGCTCACCCACAGAGCATATCCAAACATTAACAAAGATATTTTTTCCTTTGGAGTGGAGGAATGCCGAGCCCAATGATGAATTCCCAAAGCAAAGATGCCCACTCTCCAAAAGCAGGATAGGAGAGCAGAGGAGAGGAGAGAGGAGAGGTGGGCTTGGCATCTCGGATTTGCTCGAGGGGCGCGACGTGGCGGCGCCCGAGAGGTCGTCACGGCTTTGTCGCGATAAACAAATGATAGTCTTGCAAAATTGGCTAAGTATGAGCAAAAGAGGGGATTAACAGTTTAGCCAATCATAGAGGGCGGGTGCATCTTCTGCTTGGTTGATGACATTGGGTTTGTGCTCTTGTACAGTGAGTGAGGGAGGGCAGGGGTCAGACAAGGACCCAAAGGCCATAATCAAGGGCCACGAATGCTTCTCTCGCATCTCTTTTTTGTTAATCTTGCCAATCTTCATTCTGCGGCCTGCCGCGTCCCAAAACCCTAAACAAAGGTGACATTCTTGAAAAAGAGATTCGTCTGCTTTCTTTTGAGGATTCTGCTCATTAGTGTGATTCGTTCTTCCCAAAAGATCGAAGGTGAAGATTTGGTTTGCAAGAGTAAAAGTCTGATTAAGTATCCGTTTGTTTCATACAAAATAAGTGATAATCGCTTGTATCGCTTGGAAAATGCTCTATTTGTTTCGCGGAAAATGAATGATGTAAAAAACATTTTTCAAAAAATGATCGCTTATATCTGTTACAAAAATGAATCACCGAATAATACTTCCACCGTCCACGAATATGTTGAGACATAAATTGATGTCAATAATGAAGAGATTTTCTATTGACTAATTATTTCAAGCATATATGCGATCGTTGTTCTGGCGCTAAATTTGTACACACCTCAGGAACAACAATGATGAGGATTCCAAATCTACAGGATCTCGAAGAGGAACCAAAAGACAATCGGCTCTGCGCACAAAACCTTGTCGACATCGCTTTGCTTCGCTCCTCTAAACTCTGTTAGGATTAGGCGCACAAACATAATGAAATAGAAAGTAAATGCGAGAAAGAAAAATTGAGACACAAGTTTATTCTGGCTCACTTTAGTTTACCCATAAACTAGGGTTAGAAGATTCCACTATCATTAGTACATCCCACCTCTTTAATTACAATTCTTTATTACAAGATAAAGATATTATATATGTGCGGCACAGTAGCTATTCATGGGCCAAAGCTCAAATTACTAATAAAATATGGGCCTAAACTATAAAAGCCCTCTAGCGGTTTGAGGATGCTACTCCTATGACCCTTGTCGGGATAGCCCCTACAGACCCCCGCCCACTCATCGGAGAGCAGGACCCTCGTGCCTTCCTGTTGGGGAATATAAACTACCCCTCAACAAACTTGAGCTCTAGCGACCTTTGGCTCGGCTCGGCTCGGCTTGGCTCATGGAAATTCTAGCGAGCTCGTCCCTGGCCTGTGGCCAGTCGCTGGCTGTCATCGTGGTTGGCGACCGGCCGAGCAAAAAGGAAAAAGAAAAGAAAAGAAAAGAAAAAGGAAAAAGGAAATAATTAAAAATTTTAATTTTAATTTTTTTTATAAGAACAAATATTTTATTAACTAAGGATCCAAGCCCGAACGTCAAGGAAATGCACACAATCCTTGTGGACCCGGGCTAGAGTGCTGGGGACCCGAGCACTGTCTTTTTATGGACCTGTGCTCGGGTACCAAGGCATTGGGCACATGCATCAAAGCTTTGAGCCTGGTCTCAATGGACCTGGGTGTGGGCGTCGGGGACTTGGGTTCGGCCTCAGGCGTCGGAGACTTGGTCCTAAACACCGAGAACCTGAAAACCAACGTTGGGATTCTCATGTCTAAGCGTAGAGTTTCGGGTGCAAGCATCGATATTTACTAATATTTGAAAAATATTTTCCGATTTTTCAAAGAGGAAAATGAGGAAAGCATTTTCCGTTAACTCATTTTCCTAATCGAATCAAATACCGAAAATTGAGGAAAATGTTTTCTGCGAAACAAATGGAACCTAACTATCTAAAAATAATTCCATTATCGTTGTCAATCTGATTATCTAAAACAATGACCATTATGAGGATGGTTGTAGCCTGAGAACAAAGGCCACTTCGAGTTGAACCGCCGGATTTCGAGCCGAACTCGACCATGAAAACATAATACTCGTTCGAGTTTCGAACACCCACCGTGAGAGTTAGTTGAGCTCGAGCTCAAGCTTCTTAATACCATAGTTATCGGAACCGATCGATACCCGATTCGATCTATCTTCAAGTATAAACCAATCAGTAGATAATTTCCTCATTGCATGATAATCTATCCATTGCCCTACCGAACTTACAATTTGGAATGTATCCATGACTCTATTGAGTCATAGTTTTTGTATTATTGATACTTATCAAAAGATGCAATTTTTTATCGTGTCTAAAGGTATAGTCATACAATATTTTCACTATATTCTATTTTTTACAATCCAAATATAAAATCGAGTAACGTGGAAGGATTTGTCATTACATCTAAATATGATCCTTGTGTAAAGGAAATAATCGGTCGCAACATCTTCTTATGCAAACATGACCACCGTTGTCTTATTGTCCTAAAGAAGCATTGACGTTCCTTGCCAAATTAAAATATGCCTAAGACAAAATAATAATTTTCGGTGGGAAAAAGTGTCAGAAAAGTCGTAAATTTATTGCATTGGTACCAATTAAGTCTTAAATATTTTAATGGTATCAATTTAATCCTAAACCTTTTGACCTAGTGCCAATTTTGTTCTTCTGTCTAATTTTAGAGGGATATTGCCGATATGGATGCTGACTAGCTTACGTGGCACAATTAGTGCTGAAGTGGATAACTTTTAACAATATTTTAATAATTTTCTAATTATTTTTATATTTTATTTTATTTTTCCTTTTTTTCTTTATTTTTCCCATTCCCTTCCTCCTTCCTCCAACCAGTCATTAGACCTTGGCATGTTTAGAGGCCAGCCCCGGCGAGGTCCACCTCGCTGGCCTCTAGCAAGCCTCACTGGTCACTGGCGAGGGCGAGGCACGACTAGAGGTCAGGTCTCATCAATGGCCGGCAAGGCTCGACCCTCGCTGGATCGGGCGAGGTCGGTCCTCAACCCTCATCGAATCGTTGAGGTCAAGCGACCGGCTAGAGGAAGGAGGAAGGGAATGGAAAAAAGAAAGAAAAAAAAAGAAAAAAAAAGGAAAAAGAAAGGCAAAAATTTTAAAAGTTGTTTACGTCAGTGCCGGCCAGCGTCCAAGTCACTAATATCTTGCCAAAATTAGCCAGAAGGACTGAATTGGTACTAGGTGAGGATTATATTGGCACCATTAAAAGGTTAATAACTAAATTGGCACAAATACAATAGGTTTAAGACTTTTCTGATACTTTTTTCCATTTTAGGTATTTCCCTAAATTTTACGGTTTGATTCGACTTGATTCTCAAATCACGATTCACGGTTCATAGATTTAACATGTCGATCCACGATTCATATCTTAATAGTACAAATTTGAGTGCTTATAAACATCTATCGAGTTGCGACTTGGTGCAAGTCTTTTGTTAGCTTTAGACCATCCGGGGTGAGCCGGTGGAGCACGAGCTTCTTCATATTCAATGCTTCGATTACGTCACCTACTAACTCGAGCGGAAGAACACGGACACCGCCGTGCAAATTGCTTCAAAGATTCTCAAAAGAATAATAATAAAAGAAATATAAAACAGAAACGTGAGGCTTTTGAAGCTGAAAACACCCACAAATCTTCTACTGTCTAGTCGTTCATCTGATTTAACCTGTGGCTAACACTCCACGGCCAATTTGGGCCACCGGCCCAGCAGTGTAGATGCCAATACAGATTAGATCGAAGATGACCTGGCTCGTATCTTCTTAGGCTTTAATTACTCTGTTTCAACATCTTCCACAACAATTTTGACAAACTAATAAAAGCTTATACGAGGATGATCGTCGTGATCATGGCTCGGTGATGTCGTCTTGCAATGCGGAGATAACAACCGGACGTCCGATCGCGTTAGTTCTCGCTATTCGTAAGAGTTCTTCTGATTGTGCATCGCTTCCTAACTCTTAAAAATTCAGATTTGTTTTTCGTTTGGAGCCCGTAGTTCCGTATGGAGCGAACCGATCACAAAATGTCACGAGGAAAAAGGAAAAGAACATCGGAAAATGGTACATGCTTGTAACCCCATAACCTAGCAAAGATTAATGAAGAAATTGACCACGACTTTGGGAAATTCTTGCCTGAAAAGAGAACAACGAACAGTTTCCACATTTACATTGAAGTTCCCATACAATACAATCTGAAAATGCTCCTATACAACAGTTTCTCTCCGTTTGTCCGGTCTCCGACATTCCATCCCATGATGTTCGGGTTCCGAAGCAAGCATCGGGTGCTCCCGGCGATATGGAGCCCTCACCTTCGTCCCGGGAGTTCGATGTCTCGCTCGGTCGGCATCGGGCATCGGCTAATACCCCACTCCTCCTATTTAGTTGTACATCTCGGTCAGCCTTTCCCACTCTCCACGCCGAACTTGCCATCTTTCTCGACGACAATGTCGACTGGTCCGCACGGCTCGGCTTCCTCCAGCATCTGAACCACGCGTCTCATGGTGGGCCTGAGCGAAGGAAGCCTCTCCGTGCACAGAATTGCGATCCTCAGCACCTCGATGGCTTGCTCCCGTGTGTGATCTTGCACGATCCTTGGGTCCATCAGGCGCATCACGCTCTCTCTACACTTCAAGTTGCTCGAGACCCAGCTCACGATGTCCATGTTCTCCCCGTACTCCGGCTCTATCGACCTCTTCCCCGTCACAAGCTCCATCAGGACCACCCCGAAACTGTAGACATCGCTCTTCTCATTGATCCTGGACGTGTATCCATACTCTGCGACATAGACCGTGCATGAATTATAAGCACTGAGCACTGTCAAAACTTTATTGGCTAATTAATCATTTTCTATCTGGTTTCACTCGAAGAGAGCTATCAGAAATTAATTTAAGAAAAGGAAATACAAGGGCATGGCCACGATCAATTCCTTACCAGGGGCAATATAACCAGGTGTTCCTGCTATGACCTGTGTGGAATCTTTGACGCCACGATCGGCTTGAAGGATTTTGGCAAGCCCAAAATCAGCAATCCGGGGCTTCATGAGCTCATCCAGCAAGATGTTGCTCGACTTCACGTCGCGGTGAATCATGGGCCTCTCACACCCGTGATGCAAATACTCTAGTCCCTTGGCCGCCCCGACCGCGATCCAGTACCGCGTCTTCCAGTCCAGCTCCGACTTCCCGGAAGAGTGGAGCCTGTCCCACAGGCTGCCATTGGGGAGATACTCATAAACGAGCAGGCTCCAGTCCTCGCTGGTGATGCTGCAGTACAGCTTCACCACATTGACGTGCCTAATCGAGCTCAATGCGCGGACCTCGGATTCAAATTCTCGGGATTTTTTGCCGCCCTTACCTAGCATTGGGCTAGTACTGAGGTTCCTTCTCTGGGTACTAGACTCCGCCTTTGGGATGTTCTTCACGGCGAGTTCTTGACCGCTAGGGAGTTTCGCCTTGTACACGTTCCCGGAACCCCCTTTTCCAATGAGGTTCTCGTGCTTTATGGAATCAAGAATCTCATCCTCGGTGAAGGTTAATGTGTGGAACGACTTCACTTCCCAGGACTCTTCTCTTGACTTTCTGTCTCCATCCTTGTCTCTGTTCTTGATGCAAATGAAGCATGCCAGGGATGTCAGTAGTAGCACTGAAGCTATAAGGAAGCAAATCACGATGGTTCGGATGATCTTCGATGTGCCCGGATGAGACGAACATTGCTTGAAGGAACCGATCCTTGTGGCGGTGCATAGGCTGGGATTTCCGGAAAAGCTTCCATTGTATGCTTCGAGCGAGAGAGATTGTGGGATACGGCCAGTCAAATGGTTGTTGGAGAGATCGAGAAGGCTTAGTCTTAGGGAAGATAAACTTGCCGGAATCTGTCCCGAGAGTTCGTTGTCGGACAAATTCAGAGAGTTCAGAGTCAGCAAAGATCCAAGAGACGATGGTATTTTACCGGACAGCGAATTGTGAGCCATGTTAAGGTTGCTTAGTGAAACACACAAGCCCAGTGACTCGGGTATGGCACCAGAAAGCATATTATCCTGCACATAGAGGCTGCTCAAACTTTTCAATTCGCCGATACTCACCGGGATTCTCCCGGAGAGTTGATTGTAACTCAAGTCGATTTTAACCAGCAATTCAGCTTCCAAAATCTCCTCCGGTAACTTACCCGACAAGCGATTATTTCCAACTAGTAACTGAGTCAATGCCTTGGCATTCTTAATATCAGAGGTGATTGGCCCTTCAAGCTGGTTCAAAGAGATGTCAATCACGTCCACATTTGGCAGTCCCCAGATACCAGCAGGAACAACACCCGAGAGACTGTTGTTGCTGACCCGAAAGCGTGTCAGGCTCGAGCAATTCGCGTAAGCCCCTGGGATTTCACCAGAGAAGCTGTTCTGAAGCACGAGAAGCTTCGTCATCGTCCCCTGCTTGCACATTTCTGGTGGGATCGTACCCTCCAAGAAATTCTCCGAGACATCTATGTAAATGAACTTCGCCCATGAGCCGAGCTTCTGAGGCAGAGAACCACTGAACATGTTCGTGTAAAGGGACAGATTGACAAGCTTCTGGAACTCGCCAAACTCCATTGGTACTTCCCCAGAGAACTGGTTCTTAAATAGCTGCAAAGAAACTATGTTTGTCAAGGATCTCAGTTCAGACAGATCGCCCTCGAGATAGTTCATCGACGCGTCTAAGTACTCAAGTTTGATGAGGTTTCTGAATCCGACAGGGAACTTTCCGGTCAAACTGTTGCCATAGAGCTCGAGTCGCCAGAGTTTCACCAAATTTCCAATCTCTTTAGGTATTTCACCGGTCAAATTATTAAGTGAAAGCTCTAAGCTTTCGAGCTCAATGAGATATCCGATAACCGGTGAGATTTGCCCTTCGATGCTGCAATTCGTCATGTAAAGCACATTCAACTTCAAAAGGCTTCCTATTTCTTCAGGGAAAGGAGTCCTATCGAAGGGATTGTCTCCGACACTCAAGACGATCAAATCCGCCATGTTCTTGAGGGAACTCCACGGGAAAGCCCCGGAAAACCCACTCTTGTTCAAGTACAGATAACGCAGCTCGCGAAGAGACGAGATGTCTGGGACCGATCCTGAGAAGAAATTGTTTCCAAGGTCCAAGTACTGTAGCTTAACGCAATCATTCAAATCGCCCATTGGCGTGCCGTGCAAGGAGTTGAATCCTAGCGCGAGCTTCTCCAAGTTCCTGAGCTCGCAGATCGATCCCAGGGGGAGCACGCCCGCCAACTGCTGGTTTGAGAGATCGATCTCCATCACCGACCCGTTGACATTGCAGGTGATGCCCGCAAATTGGCACGGTGGGTTGTTCGGCGTCCAAGAAGAGAACAGGTCTGGATTTGGAGTTTGGAGTGTGGTTGTGAGGTTCAGGAGTGCGTGGAGCTCGTCGGCAGTGACGGCCGAGGAGAAGAGGCAGAGGAAACAGAGCAGGAACAGAGGGGCGAGGTTTCGCCAGCCGGTTGACGCGGACATGATTGGCGCTGGAGAGAGAGCGAGAGAGCGAGAGAGAGAGAGAGAGAGAGAGAGAGAGAGAGAGAGAAGTAAAGTTGAAGGGAGATTGAAGATGGAGACAATTCAACCTAGGACGATTGTCTTCCCATCATCAACGCATGCTCTGTTTCTCTCTGAGCAGAGGGGGTTTGGCGTTCCTGTTTTCTGTTAATAACGGTAGATACATGCCTCATTATTAGGCACAGACAATACAAAAAAGAAGAAGGTAATAATTGTGGTGGTGTACATACAAGTCGTCCAACTTTGATTTTTTTTTTAATACTCAAAGGCGACTTGGTGAAGCGTGATATTGCGTGTGGGAACTATCTTTCTGAAGTTTATTCTAGCGTCGTCCGACTTGAATATCAATTTGAAAGTCAGATAAAAAGAATCGAGTGGATTCGAATCAGCCGATCGAACTCAAAAATTTTTATGCTAATTATAAATTATTTCTCTTGTCGTTTTTTTTATTGGGTTGGAAATCAAAGTGAGTCTTATATTCAACATGAAATGTCCCAACTCTTTTTTTTTTGTTTGCCTACTTTTGTTCCGTACAAATTGTATACACTATTATTTTTTTGTTTGCCTTATTTGAACAGGATATACCTTATCGCACACAAAAGAAAGGACAAGAAGTCACCTAGACATGCACGTTCAATGGATTAAGGTAATTGAATATATTATATTAAAAAAAACACTTTTTAGAAAGAGTTAATATCACGAAAAACTCTAAAATAATACACATGTGATAAATTTACCATAAACTAATTTTTTGACCATCCAAAACCATAAACTGGTATACCAGTGACAAATTTACCCAAAACTAATTTTTTGATCATAAAAGATCCCAAATTAGTATCTTTGTGAAAAATTTACCCTCCGTTAGTTTACGTTAAATTGGATTAATACCATGAAAAATCACAAATTGAAATGGAGGATAAAACTCCAATCTGTCAACTGTCACGTTTAATCAAATTTAGCAATTTGACGATAAAATTTAACCGAAACTAACGGAAGGCAAATTTATCATAGGTTTGGAGTTTTTGGTAGTCAAAAAATTAGTATGAGGTAAATTTGTCATAAATATATTAGTTTGAGATTTTTCGTGGTATTAACCATTTTTAAAAATAGATTAAGGTTGGGGCTTTCTGCTTCGGAGGTGGCTGAGAGAAGCAATGTCTTTCTTTTTATCATGTAATGGCGATACACCTTCTAAGCAACGCATGGAAGCTTCGCTTATTATTAAAGCAATAATGGGGGAATACAATTGATTTTTGTGATGCCTCATCCATATGTTTTCTTACCTTTGTTTGAATTTGATTGGTTTTTAGCAAAATGACAATGATTGGATTTTTTCCTTTTCTTTTTCCCTTTTTGCCAATCGACCAATTGCTTATTAGTTAGGTGGCTTCATGGCATTTCTTTATTGGGAACCGATTGACCGATGCAGAACGCGATCGATTTATTCCACCGATTAAGCCAGACCCCCCGGGCATTATCGATGCGAGCACATCGGGGTCTTCCCTACCCGATGTTTTTTTTAGATTAATTGAGGGGTCCAGATGGGTGTTTATCTACAATGAAATCTAATGATGATTCACCTGCCAAAGAGGACAAGAGGATACTGGCAAATGCATGCTCGATCGGTCCAAAACAAGATTCAAACATGATGTGGAGGACAGTATGATTACATTGACTGATGAGCATTGAATATGCCGTCTCAAAGAGATATAGTCCGAGTACTCTGATGAACACGGTTCTAAGATGATGCATGGGACAAGGGATAGTTTTAGTTGGATTTACCCTTGACAAAATCATAAATCTTCTAAGAAACTTAATGAAAGGACAATTCGATGTGCATTGTGTTATGATTATTATTAAAGCGAAACTAGAGATTCGATCGAAAAATGAGGTGCTATTGCATGGATCCCGCGCCCGTATTTTAGGCAGGGAAAATATAAAAAAAATCATAAACCTATTGCATTGGTACAAATTCAGTCTTATCATTTCAATTGGACCATTAAGTCCTAAACTTTTTGCATTTACGCCAATTGAGTCCATAAGACCGATTTTGATCAGAAATTGTTGGTATGGAGGCCGACCGTCCTCCATGGCACGACCGGTGCTAACATAAATAAATTGATCGGATAGACTCAATTGACATAAATGCAAAATGTTTAAGACTAAATTTGTCCAATCGAAATGATAAGACTGAATTGGTACCAATGCAATAGGTTTAGAACTTTTTTGATACTTTTTCCTATTTTAGGCACATCTGCACATTTAAAAGCGGTGAATATTGCCGAAATTTTAACAAAAGAGCCTTCGAATTTAACGGTCCACGTGACTAAATAATAACACAATTCATACAAAACTTTTTGTGGGGAAACGTGTTTGATCTTCTTGGGTCGCTTGTCTTATAATGTATATCCGAGAATAGTCTCTTAGCAAATTATTGGAAGTAAAAAAAAAACAAATTACTGCTTTTCGTGTTCTCTAAATGGAATAAAAAAGAAAGCTGGAATGTAAAAGCGAAAGTAAAAACTTCTCTAGGACAAAACGATTAGCAGCCCCTAATGCATACAAAACCTAAGGAAAACAACACGAAAGTACCAAGCTCTAAATGAAAAGCGAGGTGGAAGAAAAGTTGAGTTTCAACATTGAACTTGGACGGTCTCTTTTCTTTTTCATTCCACAAAGTGTCCCCTTCACGGCGAGCAGCCGAAGCTGACTAAAGTGTATGGAAACAAAGCAAACGTTCCACCCAAAAAGACAAGGTAGACCGAGAAAAATGGAACTCTCGTGGAAAGAAACCTTTTATGGAACGTGCTTCGATGGCAACTCATGTTTTTTCTTCCCTTCATTTTATTTTATTTTTATGTTTGAGTGATGTGTTGGTTTTTCTATTATTACAAGAATGAATTACGTGTGGAGGCCGAATATTTCGAAGCTCGATTTTGCCTGCTTGTTTTTTTTTATTAAAAAAATAAAATATATTTTTTCCGCTGAAATATAAAATACTATCCGGATTTCTAAAATCGCGAAAATATTAGATGCGAAATTACGTGCCAACATTTGCACGCCGTGAAAGTTTCGGATGTTTTGGATTGACCAACGGTCAAAATGTGTGCATCGCAAAATTTAAGTAGAATGCGAAGAGGTAAGTTGACAAGAAGTGCTAAAACTCGTAGAGAAAGTGTAATTGACTTTTGAAGTTTTCGAGCGGTGCAATCAAGTCCTAAAACTTGTTAAATTGGTACGATCGAGTTCCTCTGTTAACTTTGTTTGATTTGGCTCAACGAAAAATGCCGATGAGACGACCTTTATTTTTAATTACTTTTTTAAGACACACGGCGCACTCTTATTTTACGATTCAAGAAAGAGAAGGACAACGGGAGAAAAATCCGAATTAGCTATGATGATTCTTTCCGAAAGATTCGCTTTGTTGTTTTCTGCAACCGTGTGTTTGATTTTGGTTGGAATGATCTCCAGCAGCAAGAATAACTTTCCAAAAGCCTAACAATAGAATCGTCGGAATTTGTATGGTTCAAATAAGCGTTGGTTTTAAAGAAGGGTAAAAGCTATCAAAAGTTGTAAACTATGCCCTTGTGACATATTTGTCCTAAATTTTTTTTGTGACACCAAAAATTTCAAAACTTATACTTGTGTGACGCATTTACCTTCCGTCAAAAGTTCTTTAATGAGAACCATTAAAAATCTACTTACATAGACGTCAGAAATCAGACAGTATTGACATGAAGCCCACTTGATTTCAGTGAAATAAAAACGATATTGTTTTGACTGAAAAATCACAAGATAAATGTGTTGCATAGATACGAGTTTAGAGTTTCTTATGTCACAAAAAAAAGTTTAGGGCAAATGGGTCACAGTAGGTATAGTTTCGAGTTTCTGATATCATAAAATAAGTTTAGGATAAATGCGTCATAGTATGCATAGTTTTGAATTTTTTTATGATTTTTTCCTTATAAAAAATGGTGTGGGCTAGTTCATGCTCAGTAGACAATATATAGATTATCCAATTCGACTAAGATTCGATCGAAAAAAGAAATCCGATTGAGGAGTTCTTGAGGAAATTACCTTTTTCGAAAATTAGTCGAAAATAATTACGGCGCATCGAACTATGTAATCGGACACGAGATCCCGTGCAAATATCGTACCGTCCAGTCATATCGGCTACGTATAAAACATTTATCGGGGATAAGATTGATATACATTGTTCAACATTCGATGTCTAAATGTATTAATTTATTAAATTAGGAGGTGGTATCCAGCATTTGGCCGCCCGGAATTTTGTTTTTTCTTGGGCCTTTTTGTGCTGTGCAGGTCCTGTCAATCACTCATCGATTTGAAAACCCCAGTTCATGAATGCAATGCCCCCCCCCATTTTCCACCGGCAGTCCATGTTCAGCATCTCTGGTGGACCTTTTTGTGTGCACTAGTCCAAGTGATGCTGACTATTTCGTTTGACTACTAATGTTCAAATCCAATGCATCGTGAGCAAAATGAGCACGTTTGTCTTCCTTGCCCGAGGCATTCATTCATAAAGTCAAATGAGGGGCCCTAAAAAAAAAAAGAACCCTCGCCAATTGCAATTCGCAGACGCCCATATCTTTATTTTCGATTGTTACCGAATACATGCTGAATCTCGAAAGTGCGAGATACCTAATAAGAATTCTTAGATACTAACGTTTGATTATCTGAAAAAAGAAGAAGCAAAAGAACAAGAAATAGTAAATGTGTGTTGAAAAATAGTTTGTTCTAGATACTCCTTGATTGCTATTTCATTTGTGTTTTTTTAAGACCCACTATACACAAAGTTGCTTAGACTGGACCTTGCATAGTACCGGCCCACGTTTGGTTTCCATCGCCATTACTCTGTCTGTCTGTCTGTCTCCTTCCTCTTCTTGAAATCCCTAAATCTACACCCCAAACAAAACTTCATTAAAAAGATGCATCCGGCTACATCGGGATTGTAGCCGTGATAGGTCATTGTTTGCAAGTCGTGGCTGTGGCAGAGTTTTTGTTTGCGATGTAAAATTCTATCGGAATACTGCTTACTGTTTTAAAAGATTTAAGACTTTGATGGCATGTCAAAATTTCGTGAAACTAATGCCAACTGTTCAAAAAGTTTAAACTACCGGATAAAGACGTGATTTAGGCTCCGTTCGGTTAGCAGAAAATGCTTTCCAGCAAAACATT